GCGTGCCGGGGCGCGCGTCCCGGGGGCCCTGCTGCGCGTGCCGGGGTGCGTCGTTCCGTCTCCGGGGGTGGCCACGCGGGGACTCAGCGGAGCCTGGGCTGTGATCGTGAGAAGCTGGTCCTTACACGGTGCTGTTCGCTGAGAGAACTCAGTGTCGAGTGCCGCACACAGGAGGCAGGAATAAGCGTAATCAGTCAGCCTTCTGCTTTTTCCTTAAAACCTAATCTGTGTTTAATACGAGTACTTATGTGTTGGATGAGTGTCACGTGTTGGTACCCACGGATGACACACGACGCAGACTATCCAGAAAGCGTAGCACGCACCGAACTCAGTACGCTGCGTGTTCCAAAGTCTTGTGATTGCACACGTCTCCGGAGCGTGTTGTCAAAGGTCTCGAGGTGGACCTGTCATCCGTGTGGAGGCCTGGGGACGCGTGGAGGGCTGGAGGGTCCCCGCCGCCTGGGGCCACCGTTCTCACCCTGAGGCTCCCTTGAATTCACAAATCTTGCTGTGGCTCACGTGATTTTCATTTCCTATTTTGAACGTAATTTTGGGTTTAACTGGTTCAAACTGCAATCACAGACCCGGGGAGGATGAAGCTGGGGCGTGTTTGGAGCCGCCCGTGTGACCCTGCTCTTCTGTGGCCAGGAGACTAGAGCTGTCCTTCTTCTGCCTCCTTTCCCGGAGGAAACGGTTCTGGTTGGGCTCTCGTGCTCCCTGGTAATTGCTTTTAATCGGCTGTCATGTCCATGAGCATTGGAATCGGGGTTGGTCGGTTAGCGCTGTTCTTCCTCTGCGAGTGTCTGCATGTGGGTGGTTGTGCTGATCTGGTCCTGCGTCCGCCTCCGCCTGGCTGTCCTCTCTACGTGAATCTGTGGGGCGTGTATACGAGCAGGTGCTGAGCACGCGTGTGCAGCACACGCCATGTGTGATCTTATAAGAGGATTTGCATGAAAATTAGAGTTCAGTTCACTGCACACCCCACATCCCAGAACATTTACATTCTCACTATTACATCTAAGGGAAACTTGTTTTGGGTTGTTTTTTTTTAAGCTTTTTTTTTAAGAAATATCCTTGTTGGTTTGTCCAGCTCAACTTGCGTTTCCATGGGTGTGGCAGAGAGTGGTACTCCCACCTTCAGGAAACAGCTCTTTGAAAGCCCCTGGGAAAGGCCGGTTCTTCTCAGATACAAAACTTCACGTCCTGATGGCTCCACCAGGCCCCCCTCGCTGCTTAGATGGGGGCTGAACTGGGTTTTCTGTTGTTTTCGCTCTGAAAAGCCAGAGTCCCGGGAGAGAAGGCGACTCAGAGCCAGGTGTCATCGGGGCCCTCTCCCATCTGTGCACCTGCTGAGGCTTTCTGACTTCCCTTCCCCGGACGCGTTTCTTCCAGGTGCTGAGCGGGCCAGGTTCAAGGATGCTTCGGAAGCTTTGTCTTCCATCATAGGTCAAAAGCCACGTCTAAAATATGGCAGAAAGAAAAAGAATTAAGGTTTGGCGGGACCAAATGTCGGTTGCCGTTTACTTTCCATTCCACTTAAAAAAAAAAGGCTATAACTTTTTTTTTTTAGATTTTATTTATTTGTTTATTTTGTTTATTTATTTATTTTTTTATTCTTATTTATTTATTTGAGAGAGAAAATGAGAGAGAGAGAGAGAGAGCACATGAGAGGGGGGAGGGTCAGAGGGAGAAGCAGACCCCCCGCCGAGCAGGGAGCCCGACGTGGGACTCGATCCCGGGACTCCGGGATCATGACCTGAGCCGAAGGCAGTCACTCAACCGACTGAGCCACCCAGGCGCCCCCAATTTTAAAATACTACAGAGAATTCCTGTACTACGTCAGATTCATCAGTTCTCAAAGTTTTGTCCTGTGTTACTGTTCTCTCTCTCCCCATTTACGGGTGTCTGTGTACAAGCACGCGTGTGCACGCATGTGTATATGCACGTGTGCATATGTGCGTCCGTGTGTGCATGGATGTGTGTGTTTGTAAAGGAGTACGCCCCATTTTTTCCTAAACTAGCTGAGGAAGGCGCAGACTGCTCTCCTCCTGAGGAAAGTGCGTGTATGGGCAAACCTGGGGAGGTGAGTGCGGACACACGCTGTACTTCCCATGGGGACATCGCATGCCGCGCCCCTTGGCCCGCACTTTCCGCAGCACGTGCTGGGCCCGCTTCCTCTGGACCCGCTGTGGACTCTGCGGCCAGCTTTTCTCAGGTTAGACCCAGGTGTGCCTCGGGCTCGGGCATGCTGGCGCTCCGTGGGCAGGCTGCGTTCTCCGGGGCAGCCTCAGGAGGCGCGCGATCGGCTCCTCACTGGTGACCTGGACATGGGTTATCCGGCTGGAACGTGGATTCGCAGTTGCCCAACAGGGGCGGCTGTGAGAGTGGGCGTGTTTCTGGGTGTGGAAGGCACAGGCCGTTCGTCTTCGAACTGAGCTCCTCCTGCAACCCCGAGGGGCACGTGGGCTGTGAGCCGTGAACCCCGCCGGGGTGGTGAGCATTTCAGTGTTGGGGTTCCTCCCACACCGCGTGACCACGGGGAGCCTGCCTCAGGGTTGGAATTCCGGGCGATGGGTCCAGGTTCGAGTGGGAAGCTGAATGCTGCTTAGCTGCTGGAGTAACTCGCAGAACGCTGGGAGGAGTTGCCTGTGGATTCTGTGCTGTGCGTGGACGTGGGCTTTAGGTCCCTGCCTTTGCTCTCCGGCGGCGGTTACGGGCCCGCCAGACTGGGAGAGACGAGGGGGAGCAGGGGGAGGAGACCAGCCTATTTCTCCTGTACTTTCTCTTCCCGGGGATTTCCGCTGTTGCTCTGCACACTCCAGCGTTTGGGAAGGGCCAGGTGTTGCATTTGCCACGTTCCCATCCAGGCATGTCCTGGGCATATGGGGCACGGAGTGAAACGGGGTGTTTGTGGGATGGGATGGGCAGGAGGAGCAGGGCCTGGAGGGGGGACGAGGGAGCAGGGGTGTGGACGGTGCCCCCGGGTGCGTGGATGGTGGCCCCCGGGTGCGTGGACGGTGTCCCTGGGTGCGTGGACGGTGCTCCCGGATGCGTGGACGGTGCTCCTGGGCGCATAGCGCCTTGGCCGCAGAGGAAGGTGATGCCCTGGCCTGAGTCCTCCCCAGGGGTGGCGGGAAGCCAGCTCGCGGTTGAGAGGACGGGGGCTGTGGCGCGAATATGGAGGAGGAGGCTGTCCTGGCTGTTGGCAGGGAGTCTGGGTGGTTTTGGGGGCTCCCAGGCCAGGAAGATGTGGTCGGCAGCCGTCTTGCCCATGGAGGGAGGAGGCCCGCCACGAGGCCCCGGCTTGCACCATAGACGTGCTGTGAAGGCTCAGTGACGTTTCTCAGAATGTGCTTGCCGTCCCCTGAACTAGAGCCAACGTTTAACACCCGTATGCTCGTTTCAGACTGCAGGACCAGGGGACAGTTCAACGCGTTTTCGCACCACTTCCGAGGCAGGCGGTCTCTGGGGTTCAGCTTCCAGGAGGACGAGCCCACTGGGGAAGCAGGCCCCGGGGGGACCCCGAGGTACAGCCGGCTCCAGGGCAAGGTGTGGGGTGCTGGCGGGGGCGCCTGTGGCCACGTGTGACATGCTGAGGTGTGTTGGCGGCTTCTCCCTGCCCCGTGCAGAATCGGGAAACACAGAAAGCATCCGGGCAATGCCACGGCCCCCTCCCGTGAGCGCCCTCAAGTACCGGGGACGAATGACTTCAAGGACTTTGTTCTGGAGATGCAAAAGACCATCACAGACCTCAGAGAGCAGGTAACTGTCCCTGCACATCCCATCCCGATTCACAGGCGGCGTTCTTGCTCCCAAGACCCTGCACTTGTGAAATCTGCGCCAGCTCCCCGATCCGGAGCCTCCTGTCTGGCTCTTCTCTTGTGGCCTGTCCCCGGCCCGGCCACATGGGGCTGCCCTCGGTTTCCCGGTGGCTGGGGAGCTCTCCCTGTGGGCTGCCCTCGGGTGCCACTGGGGAGGGCGTGGGGTCCCTGGAGCGGCCACAGAGATCCTAGGTCGGGAGGGGGCCATGAAGGAGAATTCAGACCTTAGGTCCTGTTCCAAAGCCACTTCTTTAGGAATGTTGGTCTAATCCTTGTCCCCAGGGAGGGGTCAGCAGGCATTTTGTGGTCAGGTCCCCCTGGATGTGGGGAAGGGCACCCACCAAGGGTCTCCACACTGGGCTCTTCTCCGAGGACCTGTAGGGTTTTGCAGAAAATGACTGATCTGCCTTCCCCCACCCGGGAGCTTCCTCCTGTCCTCTTCTCTGCGTCCGGTCCTCAGTGAGCTCTATGTGTACACGAGTGGAGACTGAGGTCCCAGGTTAAAAGTCTGTGTGCAGATCAGACGGTCCTATTGGCAGAAATGTCTGATTCTGTGCAAACCTGTGGAGATGGACCTGTGAGTGGTGCTCTGGTAGCAGGATCCCATTGCTACGTGTGGGGTCCTCAGTCCTCGGGCGTGGAGGACGTGGGGCCGTCTCTCCCAGCCACGTGCACGTGCTCTCACGGCTGGATGTGCAGCTTAGCGTGAGCTGCGACCTCACCTGACAGCCTCCAGGTGTGTGACAGAGACTGGAGACAGGGTGGGGGGGACGCCTGGCACCGGTCAGAAGGCAGGGCTTGTGGCATCAGGAGAGAAGCCCCTCGACCGTTGCCCACAGCCAGAGAGACACAGCCAGGTAGTGACAGGCACAGGGCATCCTGGGGGCTCCGCCCGGGGCTGGTGGGTGCTGAGTCCTAGAGATGGTCGCTCCGGGCAGGCAGGCTGGGCCAGTGACCACGGAGAATGCAGGGGGGAGAGGTGGCACTGAGCAGATGGGTCAGTGTGAGCAGAGTCAGGAGGGGGTACACAGCTGGCTGCCCCAAGCCCACCAGCACCCCCGCGCCCCCCGGCGCCCACCAGCACCTTGACTCCGTCTGTGGCTTCTTCCAGCCGCAGGACAGAATAACCCCGGTGTGCGTCCCCTTCCCTCTGCGCACCCCCACATTTCAGGGCGGGGCTGCTCGATGGGCAGGGCGCCAGGTCTTGGGAAGAGGCGGGTGGGAAGTTCGCGGGCGTCTTTCTTACTCTGCGTGGCCAGGCCTGGTTCACACGGGGCTCCTTCTACCCCAGTCGTCTCCCAGGCGCTGGGCGAGGTTTGTCCTTGCTTCTTCCGGCTTTATGCCACAGTTTGGTCAGCGATCACCGAGGAGAGCCCCCCAGCGTCCTCAGCAGCCCCCCCCGGCCCGTGCTGCTGCTCCCGCGGCCTCAGGGACCCTCCTTGCCTTCAGGACTTGGAAGACAGCTCTGGGGTCTGGGGACGTCAAGATCATGATGCTAGCAAGGGCCTGAGTGCAGGAGGCGGTTGCTCTCCAGAGCCGCACCTGACCTGCAGACCTGGGCGCTTATGCCCTGGGCTAGCTCAGGTCGCCCGGCTGCAGGCCGCGCAGATGCAGAGTGTGCGAGGCCAGGCGACCTGACCACGAAGACCGCGTGGTCTTGTGCAGCTTGGAGGCCGTGCGGTGAACGGCATGCCATCACACGGAGTAGATGGAGGACGTTTAACGGCCAGGAGCGCGCGGGAGGTCTGCGTGTTGAATCCGTTCTTGGCGCTCCGTCCTTTATCAGAGCGGATGCCCCCGCTGCTGACGCGTCCTTAGGCGGTCGCACCCGGTTGTGTCCGTTCTCCTCTCTGGGGTCAGGAGATTCAGTGCCTGTGACAGAAACCCCACTCAAGGACCGATAGATGAGCTGGGAGTTTTGCGGGGCTGCTGGACCCTCCACGGTGCAGAGACAAGCACGTCTGGCCACCGTCCGCGTCGGCCCCCAGCAGCAGGGGTGGAGGAGGGGTGCCACCCGCGGCTGGGGCTGGTGGCCTGTCAGGGCTGTCCGCGTCCGGGGGTCTACCTGCAGGATGTTCTTGTCTGGGTGGTTCCCGCTCGCACGGTCGCGTGGGAGCCTCTCGTCCGATCCCCCTCGGGCTTCTGTTCTTTCCCTGGAGCTGCCGTAGGCTGCAGTCTGTGCCCTGTGACACGGGGCTGTCGCCGAGGTCTCGGAACCTGAAGTGTCCCTGCTGAGCCGGAGGCGTCCTCATCCCAGGCGGAGGTACGGGTGTGGTTCCAGAGCTGAGACCTTCACCTCCAGTGAGCAGTGCACATTTTTGCTTTGCTGCAGATAAAGAGACTGGAGTCCCGGCTCAGCACGGCGGACTGCACAGATGCCGATGGGGAGCCTCACGCCAACGGCGCCAAGTGGAAGCGAGATGCATGCTCCATCTGCGAGTGCCGAGTGAGTGTGGGGCTCTGCCATGGGAACTGGGGGGACCAGCTGCACTCCGAGGCGGGTGCCCCCACTCGGCGGAAGTCAGGGGCTCTTTCCCCAGAGCTCTGTTCAGGGTGGGTCTGCACACCACGGCCCCAGGCAGCCTCAGGGTGTTTGCACCAGCTGGGAGGGTGGGCCTGCCAGATGGTTCTCGGTCTCCAGAGAAAGTGGACGGAGGTGCTGTGGGGACCGCGGTGGCCCCCGTGTCCAGGCCGGAGCTTCAGGAAGGGGATGTGTTTCCTGGCCCGGGGATGGGAAGGGAACTCCAGGGTCCCTGGTGGTTGTCCTGTTTGGGAATGACAGAGCAGAGTGGGGACAGCACGGTCCCCTGCAGCCTCTCCCTACTTTGTCCTCCTTCTGGTGGACATCCCGGACGTGATCCTGGGGTCCCAGGTGTGGGGCCAGGGGGCTGTGCTGAGCCTGTAGTCCTGGGCTGTCTTCAGGGTGGGTGGCCAGTCGGGGTGGGGGCGGGAACTTTCTGGAAGAAGTGCAGGGTGTCTGCAGCTGTTAATCAGCGGGAGAATCAGCCCTTGATTACAAACTGCACCAAAGAGCTCAGACCGGCATGGGGTCGGAAGGGCAGACGGGCAGGGGGGTGATGCACAGGCCGCATACCCCAGGAACTGACGGGTCCTGGCGCCTCTCTCCTCCAGGACGGGCAGGTCACCTGCTTCGTGGAGGCCTGCCTGCCTGCCGATTGCCCAGCGCCCGTGAGAGCCCGTGGGGCCTGCTGCCCGGTCTGCCCAAGAGACGGCACGGGGAAAAAGCCTTAGGCTCGGCGAGGCCTTCGGGGGCCCTCCATGTCCTCAAGACTGACGGCCGGCACAGGGCGTGCGGACGGGAGGGATCCCTCTGTCTCAGTGGAGGGCAGGTGCTTAGACCAGATCATTCACAGAGGAGAAACCGCGGACACGCGTCCTAACTTCACGTTAGATTCTCAGGTTTTTATTTAATGTTTTTATTGAAATATTGGTGCTACTATTAAATTGCACAATTAAGTCATTTAGGCTCCTAAATTCACTTCCCCGGATACCACCGTTTTCTTCTCGACCGAAAGTGAGTCCCGCTTGGTTCTGACACCTGGAGCTTGCAGACGAGCCCCCGCAGCAAGTGCGCGTCCCGGAGCCACCGGAAGGACGCACGCCACGGTGGAAAGGGAAGATCAGTGCGTGGCTGACGGACAGACTCATAGGAGAACTGGGCTGACGGTCTGGGCGGAGGGCACCAGCGTGTCGACCCCGAGCGACGGCCCTGCTGCCCGGTCACCCACTCACCTGCGACTTCCAGCACCTCGTGCACGAGAGTGAGATGAAGCCACGTGCAGAAATGCAGAAACAGGTTGGTTTTCACTAGGGCTTGTGTGACGCTGCCCGCGTGGACCAAATGTGAAGCCCGTTCCTACTGAAGGCGCACGTCCATGTTGGCAGCACCCGCTGGGCTCTGTTCCCGGCCAAGCACCGAGGGCTTCTCCCCACGGAGGGACTTCCTACCTTCAGGTCGTGTGAGTGCCTTAAAGAAACAAAATCGACCCCTTTACCTCATTTGTATTTTCAAATGCATGACGTTTTGCCCATGTTTCAGGTGTCAGGAATGGTAGAAAAATCACTTCCCCTATGCAAAAGTTGTCTTAGAATTCAGAGAAAAGCAACTATCATACCTCATGGTCTCTCTCTTCTTAATCGACCGGAAACCTCCTGTTTTGTTCTGGATACGAAGTGATGTGTCCTGAGAAGCGTGTCCCTGAACATGCAAGCTCAGTTCGGCAAGCATGTGGTCGAGCGCCCACCGCGTGCGGGCGCCGAGCTGAGCACAGATGCGGGGCCCCTGCCCTGCCCGGGAGGACCCCCGAGGACACAGGTGGTCTCAGTTTGTGCTGGCAAGTCCAGGGTGGGGCGCTGTGGGGTGGCCATGACCGCGGCGGCCGGAAGGCAGGTCTCCTGGTGGTCGGGCATGTGGTGAGCAGGGTCAGAGCCCGATCTGGCCCGGCGCGGGCATCCTTCTGGAAGCAGGAGCCACCAGGCTCTGTGACCAGGCTGCCATGCCTGCGGGGTGGGGTGAACACTCCAGTCGTGAGAGTGTCCGCGGTAGCTTTAAACACGGCCAACTTGACTTCTTGTCCTCGGAACGTTGAATGGTAAACACAAGCTGGTGTCTCGGGTGTGGGACTTCTTTGGAGATACCAGGTCACGTTTAATAACCAAATCTTAGAACTGATTTCTGTCAGCGAGAGAGTGGATAACCGTGTGCACAGCGTGATGGTTATGGAAGTTGCTCAGGTATAAGATGACCGCGCACCCCACGTTCTGAGAGTCTGGTGTCTGGGGGCGGCCGTGTGGCTTTGCTACAGAGGGTTAGAACGCATGGCTGGGACCGCGTTCTCTCGGCGGAAGGAGGGGTGTCTGCGACTCACGGTGAGGGTCTGTAACTGCAGCGTGAACGTCGCGGGGTCCCCGGTTTCATCTCACATGCAGTGTCTGAGCTGCAGGCAGGGCCCGGAGGGACCCGCGGCTGGGCGGGGGGTCGCGGCCACGCGAAGCGAGTGTACATATTTATTTAGTTTCTAACTGTTGCCAACAGCCAAGTGCCTTTCTGTGTTCATTGTAATCAGTTCATTACCAAAGAAACGTTTGCACTATGTAACGATGCCGTCAGTTCAAATAAATGGGCCACGTTTTCAGATGGAGAGTGGTGTTCTTCTTTCCGTCAAGCCCGTGGTCGGGGCGGCTGCTTGCTGGCCCCGCGGAGCCGACAGCAGGTAGGGAAGGAGGCAGCTCCTGGAGAGAGCCGGGGTCTCAGAGAGTGGGGTCCCAGGGGCCTGTGGGAGCTGCGCCTGCCTCCGGGCGCGTCGTGCTGTGGACAAGGACATGTCCTCGTCAGAGGGACTGTGTAGCTGCGGCAGGGAGGGGTCCAGGGATGGGAGGGTCCTCCAAGGGACCATGCCGCGGGGCCGCGGGAGACCCCTGTCCCTGCTCTGGGCTCTGGGTGCGGGTGGGAGAGAGGACGCTGCTTTAAGGAGAACTGGAAGGATTTGGGGCATCTTCACGGGGCCTGGGGGCAGTCACTACTGTTGACAGAATCCTCACCCAGAAGGATATTTGAAATGATAGGGAAAATTAAATGAGTTTCTCAGATTGCCAAATTGCTTCAAAATTTGGGCAGCTTTCATGAGCATGCCGAGTTTCGGGAGTGGCGGCCTCCATTGTCTGCTTCTTTGATGGTGAGTTCTGTCAGTCTGGAGGGCGCAGCAGCGACGGGTGAGCTTCCGCTCACGGGGACGTGGGGAGCTCAAAGCCATCTTTTTTCAACTACTCCGGAATTCAGCCGGCTCTTCTTGGACACGTGTAGTGCTACATAGTCTGTATGACATCAAGAGATTATCCATTCCATTTAAGCTCAACTATTTCAAGGTTGCCATGAGCTGGAGCTTGGGGAGCATGTGTCCAGGGAGAGCGGCGACAAGACTGCGTGTCGGCCGAAGGTCGCTCGAAACTCTGGACCAGGTGCCGGTGGAGACCAGGCTCTGGACCCGCCTCGCCTTGCTGTCCCTCACTGGAGACAAACACCCATGCCGTGTGCTGGCCTCACCTGGGATGGCAGCCCCTGGAAGGATGGGCGGTGGGTCTGGGGTGGGTGGATGGGGGAGGAGCTCTCCCGGGTCCTGCTCTGAGCAGGCACAGTGATGGGCGTCGCCGAGACCCCTTTCCCGGGAGGAGCGGGGGGAGTGGGGTCCACAGTCGAATCCACTGGGCTAGAGGAGCCTCGAGCCAAAAGCCGTTGCGCTGGGCGCAGGAAGGGCTCAATGCACGTGGACCCCCTGCAGCTCCGCTGATGAGAGCCAGTTGGGCGCAGCCCCAGCTGGCGCTGTGCATGGAGGGGTGCAGGGAATGGGCGCCATTTACCTACTTTAAGTGAAACTGACCGTGTAAAACTGGCAAAAACTGAAGAAGGTATAGAAACATTTCACTGCCTTTTTAAAAGCACTTCGCACCTGCTTCCTGTGTGCAGAATTATGCACCAGATGACCTAAGTACTTGTGTTTTATTTGCCAAGTAATTCACCAAAAAGATTCTCACACGTGTTCCTTGAACTTAACAAATGCATTTTAAATGCATTTCATATTTAGAGAAAAATGTATCTGCTGTTGGTTCAAAGTTTCAGGAAGTCATCTGATTTGCACATTTTGTTCTGGTTTTAGCACCTCCTGCCTTCCCGCAGCTGAGGCCCAGAGATGGGAGGTGGATCGGCAGGTCGGCGACATCGGGTGCTCGGGTGGGCGTAGGCTCATCCTGGGGTTGCAGCCGGGGGGACGTGGCCCCTGTGGCTGGGGACATTGTCCTGTGGGTGGAGAGCAGGTGGGGGAGTCTGGACGTGGTGCCAGCCCAGCCCTTGGTGCCGCCAGCAGAGGGCCTGAGCGGCGGCCCCATGGGCTTCCCAGTCCTTCCCGGTCCTCCTCCTCCAGGCTGCCCTCCAGGTGCTCTCCGACATCAGAGATAGTGACTGGCCTTCTGGTTCTTCAGCGGTTGAGCGTTTTATGCTTGATCTTCAAATCCTGTGTTCGAGGTCATTTGTATTCAGGGAGACAAGCATCCTCCCGCCCCAAACCGCGTGGCGTTGGCAGTGGAGTAGCATGTTTGAATCTAGAAGGTTCCGGAAACTCCAGTGGTGCCTGTGTTCATGTTTGTGGGATCTGTTGAGAGTCACTCAGCTTCTACCTGCTGTCTTGGCATCCGGTTTCCTTGTGCAGAGACAGGCATCCCCACTGGCCTCAGCTCCTGTCATAAATGTCTCTGCCTTTACGCGGTGATCGTAAAGTCACGTTTTTTCCGTTACGATTCCGTTCTGCCGGGAAGCCACGTTTTCCAGGAATAGCTTCACCTGCTGGTTTGGTGGGATTGCGGAGGGAAGGAAACACCTCACGTCCCGAGTCTGCGGTGATGACTCAGGTTTGGGACGGTTCCTCGCGGTGCCTTTTCTCTCAGAGCTTTGGGCAACGGAAAGAACCAGGATCTGATTTCCATTGTTCTTTGTCCTTTTCCAACATTGATCATCATGAGCTGCATGGAAAACGTTACTCTCAAAGTGTTTACCAAAACCGAGTCCTTCTCAGACGGTTATTAAGCCTCGGTTATAAGCCCTGAATTATGGAGCCGCATGACGTCATTGTTAGATGCTTTTCAAGTTATCCACATCCTTCCAGCGTGCAAACAGATTTTCGTATTGTTTTGTCTTCCGTAAGCAAAACAAATCAGGACAGACACACGGAGCCTTTGCCAAATGGCTTGTGTGCTGCCGTTCTCCAAGGAGCTCCCTGGAGAACGTCCGTGTTTGTGCTCTTTAAAAAATGCTTGCCCCAGAAGTTAACTCAGAGAGCTTGTCGTCGTCGTGCTCTGCAGGGAGTGCGTTCAGCTCGAAGACCGCGTGTGCCGTGAGCATGTGGACCACCCGGAGTGGCTCGGCGCCCCGAAATCCGGAAATGCTGGACCCCAGGGCCAGCCCCAGTTCTGACCCTGCAGCCAGTACTCCCTTCATGTCATCAAACCCAGAGAAGCGAACACCGACACTTCATTCAAGCCTGCATTCCGCGCTCTGCCCACGTGTTGATGGGACTGTGTGTTTTCTGAATGCGGCTTGCATGGGAAGGACGGAGTTCTGGAACTTCGGGAAGCTGGGTACGTGAAGCATGACTTCTCGTTTGTGTGGACCAGCGGTGTTGACTGGACTTCCTTCCCCGCGTGTCTGTGCCCGCCTCGTAGCGTGCCTCCCCCGCGAGCGCAGTGCACCGGCGTGCTCACGCCCAAGCAGGCACAGCGTGTGAGCTGAATCTTTTTCCTGGCCACGGGAGCACAGCCTCCTTCCTGGGCAGTCCTGCTTGGAGACTGCTCCCCCGTGGTCCGTGATGTTTTCATACAAACCGGAAAGGGCATAAACGCTGGAGCTCCATCCTTGCTTCACTTGCTGCCACAAAGTGTTGCTGAGAAGCTCACCCGCTTGACCCGGAACATCTGGACACGGGAGACTGACAGGGGTACCCCATCCCGCAGGGGCCGGAAGGTGCTCCCCAGAACGAACCTCCTTCCGTGGTCTCCAAACACCGTTCCCGAGTCTGTGTCTGCCCTGCTGGTCGTCCCTGTTCTGTGACTAGTCCTCCTGTCCCTGCACCGCCTGTCACGTTGGTCCGCAGTGGCCCGCCCCCGGACAGGTCACAGAGGCAGCGCTGTGCTTTGCTGCTCACCACCAGCCTCTGTGGCCTGTCTCCCGGCACGGCCCCTAAGTCCCCAGCTAGCTTACGGGTCCATCCCACACCCTTCTTACCTTTACCGCCATGGAGTCTCGGGTATTTTGGGAATCCCTGCTGATCCTGCTCCTCCTCATTGGCAGGGGCTCTCCCTGACTTTTCAGGGCGAGGGTCTTAACTTGTAGCCTGAGGATAACAGAATCTTTGAATTTTTGCAAGTAACTTACCCGAAGACTCGAGATCTGGGTGAGCTTCTGCCCTGCTAGTCACTTCTGTTTGCTCGCAGGTTACACAGCCCCTTCAGGCTATAAAATGATCCAGCTGTTTGGAGTTTCTTTGAAGTGAACACAGAACGGTCAGTGGAACAAAGATAGACGTGTGTGGGCTGCCGGGCCACGGCACGCCCAGCAGAGCTGTTGCGTCTACACCGCAGGCGGCCGTCCTGCAGAGAGAGCGGGCTCCAAGCCCCTCGGGTCCATGGCCGTGCGGCGGGTTACCTGTGAGTTTCCTGGGGAAACCCGGGCCCTCATCCTCGTGTGCTGTCAGCCGGGCTCTGCTCTGTTCGAGTGGACACAGCACTGATCCCGGTCTGCTGACAGGGCCGTCAGCGCGCCCCGCCTCTGGACGCCCTGCTGGCCACCTTCCGACCTCTGCTTGTCCAGCTGCTGACCGAGCGCCCGCCGGTCGCCAGCCCTGTGGGGCTGCAGATGTGAGGACGCGCTGCTGGGGTTCAGGTGGCTGTGCGTGGACAGAGGGTGGGGACAGAGGGCCGGGAATGACAGTCAGCGAGGCCCGTGTGCCCTCGACTGTGTGTGGTGTGACTTCTTCAGCTCCTCGCCCAGGACGACGGCCACACACAGCGTCAGCCGTGTGACGGACACGAGCAGGACCCGACGGGCGGTGCCCTTCGCTTCCCAGAGCCCCCTCCGAGGCGGGAGGGCGGACGCACCGTTCCCGTGTCACTAATGAGTCGCTCGCGGCCGCTCGGCACGTCTGCTGACACCCAGCAGGGCCACAGGCCGGATCGGAGCTCGTTCCTCGGTTTCCCCACAAGCAGCCGCTGGAAGGAAACGTGCATCTCAGGTCCCTGCTGCTGGGAGGCTGTTCCTGTGGGACAGACTGCCCGGGGGGCCTGGTCCTGAGCGCCTGTGGCCACTCGAGGGGCGCGCTGCTGGCGTTCTCAGCGCCCACGCACTGAGTGTGGGTCGGGGGTGTGGGGTGGGCATCCCACAGCCGGACCCCAGGTGGCGGGGGGTGGGGAGCCCGCGGCCGGACCCCAGGTGGCGGGGGGTGGGGGGCCCGCGGCCGGACCCCAGGCGGCGGGTACTAGGTCTGTGCTCTTGACAGAACACACAGAAGTATGTTTGTGTGTCCGGTGTCATGTAGAAGGAGGTGCTGTTTTCCAGCGTGTGGTCCATGTGGTCTGATTTTGCCTGTTTAAAGGTATT